TTATCATGAATGTTCAAATCTGCCGATCCCGTTCCAGGCAGGGCATTACACACTCAAGAGTAGCACGCACGTCGGTAGAAGTCCGTCGGGACAGATGCAGGCCTGCGCTCGGTAAGCGGCTGACGGTTCACATCCGAGCCTATATACGAACATTTCGAAATAGTTCTAAACTTCGTCGCCCGAGAGACCACCCTCATATTCCTGAGCTGCCCAAAAAAACCAAGAACTCAGATTCGCCAACATCTCACAGTTGAAATTGAGTCTCGGACAAACCATAAGCAACTGCAGCGCAAACTCATAGGCGGCAGCGACGGAGCGCGAGAGGGGGGCGAACTGCATGACGCATGAGAAGATGCTAAGGCAGAGCGCGCGATATGTCTAGATATCCTCGGCGACTGCGAGACCAGCTCGATGCGCCTCTCGCACTCGCGGGGCAAACTTCGCCACGGGCTTGCTCCAGTAGCTGTCGGGCGCCGAGCGACCAGTCATCACGCCGAGATAGTTACGAGCCAGAACAATCTGAATATTCGCAAGCTCAGGATGATACGCGGCGACAGAACTCCTCAGCCCTGCTCGGTGCATCTCCGAGTTCGCTAACGCCGCGCACTGATGTGGGCCCAGACCCAGCCCCGCGGCATCTTCTAGAACCCGAATCATATAAAAAAGCCTGCCTAGGTGAGTAGCCGCCTGGCGAAGACCGTAGAGACAGCCATCAGCATGTTCCGATGTCATACGCAGGCCCCCCCATACGCAGCCCCAAGGCAGAATAGCACCATCGAATCAGGGCCCCCTTGCCGCGCACCCCGACCGACAGCAATCGGATAAAAAATGTCGCCCCCAATCGCGATCAGAGCGGTGCTATCAACATAGGACACACGGTAGACAAATACGACAAACCTCGGCACCCCCACGGCCTCCAACACAGCCAGGAGCCATTCAATCGAGAGACAAGGGAAGGCGGCAGAGTAGTCCGTCAGGACAGGCGAGCTATCCCCGCCGCCGAACACACGCGCGGAAAGCGCCCGCGCCTCTGCTCGAACGATATGCGCAGTCACACTGCGTCCAGAGATGCACGCCTGAGAAGGTGAAACCACTAGCTGAGCGAGCTCGTTCAAAGAGCGGCACATGCAAGCACTCATCAGTTTAGCATCAGCCTTGGCCATGGAAAGTGGACGCGCGTTCCCCGGCGCCCCGAGTACTTTATTTCCGACGTCGTCCTAGGAATCGCCTTTCGGAATGAAGGCCATGAAGAACTTCCAACATGTTCCAAGGAAGGGCGTCGAATCTCCTGGACCAAGTCCTGATAGAAGTCGAGGAGGTGCCCCGGGGCATCTCCAAGACGCCAGCAGTGGCGGGGAATCCCATCGGACCCAGGTATGCCGCGCTCGTATTTCTTCATCACGCCCCCGCAAAAAGTCGCGCGGCCCTCTTCCCAAGAGACGTTAGCTCCCAAGGGCGCCTGCCAGGCAAAAGAGAGGAGCTCGGGCCACCCAGAGCGGCCCCCTTGCAACTCGCAGGAGACCTCTCCCCAGCGGTGCCTCAGAGCCTCTGCAGACGCCTCAGGGGCGGCGCGCGGTCGGGCGCCGTCGCCAACCACTCCTGAAGGCCACGCGCGACGACGAAACTGCCGCCAGAAGGCGCGACGACGTTCAACAATTTTCTCCTCCTTCATCTGCTGGAAATCATCGGGGGGAGTCGCTCTCAAGTTCCAGGGCCTCAGCGCCCAGGGTCTCCAGATGCAGCCCGCGCGCGCTGGCGGGGCACGAGGGGATCAGCGTCTTCAAAAGAAGTGTCATCTATTCACTCAGACACCTCTGGATAATGCGCGAGGGCCCGATCAAACATCATGGCGCCTTGCAAACGACGGCCGCGGATCGCAGCCATTGATCAACGATGACACGTCTCACGCGTGCTACCAACTCGAAAATTAACCCGCCGGCGGGCTCAATCAGCTGCCGAATGAATGCGCGCCTTGGCCCATGTCAGGCGCTCACCAGTTGCTGCAGCCGGCGGCGTCGCGAACAGGAGCCTGCCCAGCCCCTTGGCGAACTCCGGGGCCTTGGCCAGCCACAGCGGGGCATTCTTGCTTTCCGATACGTCGGGCGCACACGCGCATGGAAATAGTTACTGAGGCAGGCGCGCGGTCAGATGGCAGATCACGTTGAAGACGCCCACTCGACGTCGTCGAGAACATGATTTCAGCAAGAATGGCACTGGGCACCGAGCAATAGATTCTGCCCAATCAATCAGTATGATCTATATAATTGTCCACGAGAGCTCCACGGGCAGCCACGTCCTGGTAAAATCCGACGAGGACAGGAAGCACGCCAGGGGAGGCCTGCGCGTGGCGACGGCCCCCAGGACCCCAGAGGCCCCCGCAGGCTGTTTGACGGCCCTCACCTGCGAGAGTAAGGTTCCAGTTCCCCAAGATGACCGCGAAACACCCAGGACACGCGGGGAGTTCGCGGCGGAGCAAGCGCAACACAAACACGCATGGATTGAAATGGTCCGACGTTTTCGGCATGTGCGCATCGACTACATTGCATTGGCCATGCTGCCCCACCATCGCGGTCAGGAGCACCCGGCCTGGATTGAAAGGTCGGCGATCAATCTGCAATAGAGGCCCCGCAAGCCTTTTGCTGGCAGCCGCGCTCGCTTCTCCAGCGTCAGCATTATCAGGGGAGAACGTGCAGTCAAAGGTGCGAGTGGGGATATGAAGCATGCCCCATGGGTGCCCATGGGTTTCCTGGGCAGCAGCGATATCGCGCGCCCGACAGAGACGCTAGAAGAAACTTATATTCTTAGCAGCGCGATTCCGGCGGAGGGAGAGAACATGCGCAAGCATGCCCCGAGCATTCCAAGGACTGATTGAGAAGGGAGAGGGAAGGGAAAGCGGGAGCGCGCACTCCCGACAAGGCACATCGCACGGTGTTGCGCTAATTGGTGGCAACACTGATGGCGCAAGAGAGGCCGCCTCACATCCAGTAGCTGGGGCGCGCTCATCACCAGCGATGTCGCACCCATCTCCCATCTGAGACCCATCTGCATCGCGTCGTGGCTTGTCAGCGCCGTGGGAATCCGTCCATCCCCATCCTCGATGTAGGGCTTTTCCTTCGTCGCTATGTCAATGATAAAGTCAATCTCTGTGTCGCTGAACTTCCACTGGTAGATCCCCTCCCGATTCGGCACAAACACGCACTGGTTGTCCTTCGTCTTCAGTGTGAACAGCGTCCAAAAGACATTGCCCGTCGATATCTGGAACCGTCCTGCGCCATAGCCAGAGCAAGCCATGCGCAACTTACCATGCCAAAAACCTTCGTCACTCAACTTCACCTTCATCGGCCCCCAGAGGCAGGACAATATATGATTCCACAATCGAGCAGGCAACGGGATATCTCCACGAACTCGAATCGGGAAAAACATTGGTCGGTCACGATAGTCCTTCCCACGTGGAGGGTGAGGCGAAGGCACACTGCTTGAAGCGGCTGGCAGCGCCGTCCGTCTTGAACATCACCGAATATGAATGGCTCGTACGTTGAAAAGAAGGCCCCACATCTGCATTAAGTTATTGTAGAACTTGTGCCTTATACCACTTCCAGTGCTCTTTTCCATACTACGACATAGCCCCGCGGGGCCATCCTGCAATCCATACTCGGCATCGGTTATGTTGGTGGTATCCAAGAAGCTGTCGTGTAAAGATCCAGTCGCTGGCCGCTTACGACTGTCCATTATCAGAGCTCGGTGCACTCGAATTGGGGCGTGAGATGGCTGATAGTTGTTCTTGAACGAGGTAGCCCTACGCCTCCATCTTAGCCTCCACCTCCAAGTTGGCACCGAGGTCGAGGTCGCGACCGTCGCGGGGGCCCTCCGTGTCGTCGAAGATGATGGCCGTGCCCGTGACCTGCTGGAAGCGCTCTTCCCATTGGGCGGACATGTTGGTGACAAGGGCCTGCATCTCCTGCACCGCTGCACACTGTTGGGCCTGCAGACCTTGGATCTGCAGCTCGATATTGTCCGTCCTAGCACCGGCACTTCCAATCGCCGTAAACAATTCACATTCCAACGAGGCGATCGCTGCAGGAATGTCACTTTCCAGCGGCATGTCTGGGGGGTCAGGAGAGGCCGGTGCGTCCGCGGCGAAGGAACTGCGGTCGATGCCTGATCCACGCGTGCTTTGGCGCACGACTGGAGAAGGTTGCGAGGCCTAACCTCGGGGCGCTCGGGCCAACCTTGGCAGACAGAGTGCAAGCTCGAAGCGCCAGGGCAGCGTTTCGAACTTGAGCCAAAATGGCTACGGACGCTGACTCACCTACTGAACATCAGACGTGCATGATCCTCGTCAGTCTTCTCTTTTTTATGTGGCGTGGTCATCCTCCTCGTCGTTCATTCATCCTTCTCAGCTTCCTGCTTCTGTGTTTCGCCCAATCCAACATCTCAATCCTCACCTCCGCTTGCCCTCTCTCCTTTCCGCTTCACCACATTCAGCATAATCGTCCTCATCATCACCCACTCTTTCTCGTGTTATCGCCAGCCTCATCCAGCATCTTAATCATCATCATCATCATCATCAACAACAACAACAACAGCATCATCATCATCTCAGCATCATCCTCCTCCTCAACTTCATCTTAGCTTTGGCTCGAGGGTTTGGGGTGCGTCAGCAGGCTGACGCGATTCTTCGTGCTGAGACTAGCGCAACGTGGCACGCGCTTCGGCAAGCAATCATTGTGCCCGCCGCGATGGCCAGCGGGCCCGCCCGCCCTTGGCGGCCTGGGCGACAAGGAGCAGCTTGCGCGTGCGCCTGGCGGAAGTCGCCAGGACCCCCGCGAGCCGCCGCGGATCTCCGCCTGGGAGGTCGGCGGCCCAGGGCAGCGAGGGCGACGGCAGCCAGGCGGGCTGGGACGACGCGGGCGCGGGGGAGGCTCGCGGGAGCGACAGGGTGGCCGGCGCTGCGGGCCCTCGTCGCGAGGCTGGAGGCCCTAAGCAGCCCTGGCGAGGCCATGGCGTCGGACGTGGTGTCGCTTCTGGCGCCCCTCCGCGGCGAGGTGGCGGAACTGGGCCAGCGCTGCTCGGCGAAGCAGGAGCACGTGCACGAGCGGTAGGAGGCCCTCGCCATCGCCGAGAGGGAGCTCGAGGAGGCGCTGGCCGAGCGCGCCGCCCGCGGCGCTGAGCGGGCCAAGGTCGCCGCGACCTGCATGGCGGAGCTCGCGGCCACGCGAGGCCGAGAGCGCGGGAACGGCGATGGGCGACGCGTCGGGGTCGACCCTGGCTGCGGATCTGGTGGGCCCTGGCGGCGATGGCGGCCGCTCTGCCTCGAGCCTCAGCCGCGAGGGGAACCGCGTCGTCGCCACTGCAGCCCGCGCCGCGGCGGGAGGCGAGCGCCGCGGAGGCAGCGGCGGAGTCGCCAAGAAGAAGTGGCAGCGGCGGGGCGCCCGTGCCCCTGCGCTTCGACGCGCTGGCCCCAGCAGGCGGCCCCGCGGCGCGCGCGGCGCCCGAGAACGGCCCCGCGAAAGCAGGCCCGCACGGGGAGGGCAGCCGTCGCCCCAGCCGCCCCGAAGGCGCAGCCCCGAGGCGGCCAGCCCGGCAGCGGCGCGCCCGCCCGCGGCGCAGGGACAATTTCGAGGCCGTCACGGCCAACGGGTCTGGATGGGCCCCGCCCACCCAGCTCCGGCAGGAGGAGCCGGCCGGCGCTGGGCTCGCGGAGAGTCACCGCGCAGACGCGTGGCTCATCCAGGAGACGCACCTCCACGCGCGCGACATCAGCGTGCAGGAGGCGTGGTGCAGGCGCGCGGGGGTGAAGGCTGTCCTGGCGCCTGGCGCAGCTGGCAGCGGCGACGCGTGAGGCGCCCGCGCGGCCTCGGGCGGCGTCGGGGTCGCAGTCCACGCCACGCGTGGCCTCGCCAACGCCAGCACGGCAGGCGGCGGCCGCGTGACCTGCAGCGACGGGCGCGGCATCGTCGCGGTCACGGACGCGGTCCGCCGCGGCGGCCTCCCTCGCCCTGGGCAGTATCTACCTCGCCAACGACACGGTGGGGGACGTCTCGCAGCGAGCCCACATAGAGATTGGCGACGCGCTGGTCTCCCAGGGCAGGCCGCGGGTCCTCGGCGGCGACTTCAACGCTGCGGCCGACTCCCTCAGGGATAAGGCGGGCTGGTGGTTGAAGCGGCGCAGGGCATCATCGTGCAGTCAGCCGAGGGCGAGACCTGTTTCCAGGCAGCCGTGCCCACCAACCTCGACTACTTTGTCGTGCACCGCAGCCTTGCGAAATCCGTGAGAAGCTGCAGCACGGTCACCCCATGGACCGTTCAGGCCCCACTGCGCAGTCAGGCTCGCGCTGAACGCGCGCGCGCGGAGAGCGCGCCCGCGCGGGTCCTCGAGCAGCCGGAGGCTTTCCCGAGGGACCTGCCCATCGGCCCGCGGCGCGAGGCCGCCCCCCCCCCCCCAATGCCCGACCTGCAGGCGCTGGCGGCCTCGGCGGCCTCCTCCCCAGCCGCGATGGAGAAGGCCCACCTCAGGGCCATGCGGCAGGCCGAGGCAAGGCTCTGCTGCGCCTGCCACATCGACGACCCGCTGGACGTGCAGGTGCACTGCGGGCGCGGCCTCGAACCCGAGGAACGCCGGGTGGCCCCGCCCCCCGACCGCCCGCAGATCTCGGGCGGCCCCAAATCGAGAGGGGGGGCGCGGCACCTCCTCGCCGTGGCCGACTACTTGGACGACGCCGCCGCGCAGCGGCACACGTGGCGGCGCGCGCCCGCGCGGGCGGCCAAGTGCCGCGGCGCCCGCTTGGTGGCCGCGCTGGCGGCCGTGGCCGTCGCAACCGCCGACGCCCTGGCGGCGCCGGCAGCCGAAGCCCGACGCGGAGCCGCCGCGCCGGCCGCGGAGCATAGCCGACGACGCCACGAGCGCTTCAACAAGTGGGTGCTGGAGGCGCTCGAGCACGGCGCAGGTGGGCTCCACGCACGGCGGCGTGGCCCGCGCGGATGGCAAGAGGACGAGCTGGACTTGCGAGGCGCCCCGAGAGCGGGCCAGCGCGAGGCGGGCGCCATCGACGAGCACTGGGTGACCGAGGTCTGCAGCACGGCCGACGGCTCGGACGGGCGGCAGGAATCCGAGCGGCAGTCGAACTCGGAGGCGCTGCCCAGGCCGACCGCAGACGAGTGGCTGGACGCCGCAGAGTCTTTCGCGAAGCGCACGGGCATGGGCATCGACCGCGCATCGCCCCGCGCCCTCGCCCAGGTGTCCGCGGCCACAGCCGATCTCTTCGCGGACGTCGGCATGGCAGCCGAGGAGTGAATCGGCTGGCCGCTGGCGGCGAGGGCATCGCCCGTCGCGATGCTGGCCGAGCCGACGGGCGGGTGGCGATCCATCGGGCTGCTCTCCAGCATCCCGCGGATCTGAAACAAGTTCAGGCAGGCCGAGGCTCGGCGCTGGGAGGCCTCCCTCCGCGGTCGCGGCGCAGGCGCCTTCTGGGGTGGGCCAGGGCGCTCGGCCCAGGAGCCCATGGCCGACTGGTCCGCTGCGCCACGTCAACCCACCGCGGGCGCCGTCGCATTCGGGCGGGCACCATCGCGGCCGAGGCGCGCGCGGGCTGGGCGCGGACCTGCTAGCTGGCCGCGCGCGGGAAGGACCCCGACGGCGGCGATGCTGCCGGTGGCACGGGCGCACTCCGAGGAGTTCAGCGCCTGCAGCAGCGGCGAACTGAAGTCCGAGATGCACATCTTCTACGACGACGCGACCGTAGCATGCCATGGGCGCACCCCGCGGGCGATGGCGAAGCACCTGGTCGAGGCGGGATTCGCGGCGGCAATGGGCCTGGCTTTGTGATGCCCACGCGCCCCTTTGTAGATAGAATCCAGGAAAACAGCGCGATAGGCAAAACATAGAAAAAACATAGGTTTCCGCGGAGGTTGAAAATAGAAGCCAGTTTTGGTTTTCATTTAAGCGAACGCGGCTTTCTAGTCGCAGCGCCGCCCGCGGTCCGAACGCCGCCAGCTCTTTAGAACGCCATAGCTGAAGATTGTGTTTCTTCCAAAGGCAGTCTAACCCTTTGGAAAAATGCTTTCGGCGCTCTAATGCGCCGCCCTGGGTTTGAACAAAGCGTGCCTGTGCTCTCTTTGCAGTTCCTAAATGGCCCGAAATGGCGCCACGAAGACCCAAGATGGCCCAATATGGCTTCACCGTGGCGCAAGACATGTAAGCGCGGCTCATAAATCGCCCGCAACGGGCTGGAGTGAAGAACACGAGCGGCCCCAAGACGGCTCCAGAGTTGCCGCGGGCCGCCAAGGACGCCCCCGAGAAGTCAAGTCTCATTCCAAGCTGAAATAAACAAAGGGACCGAAGCCACAGGACGGCCTCCAAAAGACTGCCAAAGACGGCCACCAAGACGGCCCAGCGCGCCCACCAAAGGATCGCAACACGACCCCGAGAAGTTGCCCAGACGGCCGAGGCGCACCCAGGACCCATCGAGATAGTCTTGAATGGACCTTGACGTCCCAACAAGGGCAGCAAAGGACAGGCGGAAGGCGCAATAGCGAATCCCACCAGCCCTTTGGGCGACGGTGGTCTAACGAGATTCCTCTTCCCTCTGCCAACAACTCATCGTCCCCTATGGGGAGGGGTTTACCCCTCCCCCGACCCCCTCCCCTGGACCTGGACGGGGGGGTGGTAGCGGGTGGTTGGAGCGCCCTGTTTTCTGACAGTGGGGAGCTTATTGTTTGACACCGCTCACAGGGATCGCGGCCTCCGAGGGAGGGGGCGCGATCGGGACGTCCCCTCTTTTCACCGACCGCTTCCAAGATGGTCCCCAAGAGGCCCTCCAAGGCCCCCAAGAAGCCCCCAAGAGCGTTCCAAGACCGCCCCAAGAGGCCCCAATATTGCCCCAGGACGGCCCCAGAGGCCCCCAAGGCGACCCACAGAGGGCCCACATACGGCTCAAATGGCTTCCAATACGCCCAAGATGGCCTCCAAGAGCGCCAAGATGGCCCCAAGAGAACCCCTGATGGCCCCACGATGCCTCCAAGGCGGCCCAAGATGCACCCAAGACGGCCCAAGATAGCCTCAGGATGGCCCAAGAGACGACCCCAAGGGGCCTCCAAGACGGACGTTGTTTATGATTGAATTGCTTGCTGCTACACTTCCCTCATCAAGACAACGTGACCTGGCGGCTGTCTTGGGATGGGCTGGTGGGGATACGCGAAGCGTGAAGACTAGAATGTGAACTTTGGGCACATCGCGAAGCTGAAGATGCGGGGGGGGAGGACTACGAGGATCATAATAACGAAGATGAGGATAAGGACAAGGGCCAAGGGAGAGGAAACAATCAGGAGAGGGCCCTGCGCGGCGAACATACGAGGAAGGAAACTCCTGAACCAACCAACGACGGCGGTGGCGGCGGCGGCAACGACGACGACGACGAGCTCCCCTTTTTGAGCTTGCGACGCTCTGGGACAGCCCGAGGGCCCCCCAAGACCATACCAGCACGACCCAAGAGAGCGCCCTAAGACGGCCCAAGAGTGCCCAAGAGCGTCACACGCCAGACGGCCCAAGACGGCCCAAGAGGGTTCCAAGGCGGCCCAAAGAGGGGCCCATGAAGAGGACCGCGAACCAAACATACGAGCCTTCCGCCCCAATAGGCAACCAGGAAGCCCCAAGATGCCCCGAAGAGCCCCCAAGACACCCCGAAGCCCCCCCCCCAAGAAACCCCAAGAGACCCCCCAAGAAGCCTCTTGGTCCAAGAGCCCCCCCAGGCCATCAAGCTTGTGACGATGTTTTCGTTTTTTGTTTTCAAGGATCCAGCTGCGGCCCAGCTGTCTCGGCAATCGCCGTCGTTCGTCTAGGACACCCGCTGCATCTTGGCGGCCCTGCCCGCCATCTCGAGGAGGCCCGACGGCACGGACTCCTGGATCCCCAACTTCTTGATCTGCGCCAGCGGGTCCGTGCATTGCTTCCGCATCCTGCTCAAATCGGACTTGTCCGTGTTGGCCGCCACGTACGCCAAAATGCCACCGTAGTGCGCAGCCCTGGCCATGCGGAACAGCTTCTCACCAAGGTCGATTGCCGTCTTCGTCGGTCCCGAAACCACGTCGTAGAACTTGGCGGCTTTCACCATCTGGCTGTGCTTGCCGCATAACCCATCGGAAAGCTAATGATATACTTCACGCGGATCTTGCCCCTTCTGTGAGCTCCACCGACTGCCTCAGCGGCTGCGGGCGCGCCCGCGCAAGGTGGAGGGAGGAGGAGGGGGGAGGAAAGTGAGGGCGTCACGCTGTGGAGGAGGGGATGGGGGAGGAGGGTGATTTAACGGAGGGGGAGGAGGACGAAACGGGAGGGTGGATGACGAGGAGGGGGAGGATTAGGAAGAGGGTAGAGGGTGAAGGGGCTGGGCAGAGGGAAGTAATGATGAGGAGCGTTGGAAGCCTCTGGGATGCCCTCGAAAGCCCCACATGGGCCTCTCAACACCTCCCCGTGGCATATCGGGAGCCTCTGAGAAACCAGCGGCGGATGCCAAAGGCATACAACATAAGGCGCATCGACGTGACCCGACGGTTTGCTTTCAAAGCTATGCAATGATATGCTGCACCATCCTCCTCCCTCCTCCCTCCTCCCTCCTCCCTCCTCCTCCTCCCGCGTCATTTCCCCCCTCCCTCCCCCCTCCTCCCTCCTCCCCCCCCCTCCTCCCTCACCCCTTCCCGCGGCGTCCTCGCCCGCGGCCCCCAGCGCAGCCGCCGCCGCCCCCTCGCAGTAGTAGTAGTAGTAGTCGTAGTACTAGTAGTAGTAGTAGTAGTAGTAGTAGCAATACTCATAGTCGTGTGGCACCTATAGTAGTAGCAATACTCATAGTCGTAGTAGTCGTAGCACTACTCATAGTAGTAGTAGTAGTAGTAGTAGTAGTAGTAGTAGTAGTAGTAGTAGTAGTAGTAGTAGTAGTAGTAGTAGTAGTAGTAGTAGTAGTAGTAGTAGTAGTAGTAGTAGTAGTACTAGGACCTAGTCCCAAGGTCCACCATAAGTTCTCTGCGCGTGCACCTTCTGCCCTCCCCCGCCTCAGCCCTCCTCCTCGTGGACCCCTGGGGCCCCAGGCGCGGAGGTGGAGCTCCCTGTGGGGCCGCGAAGCGCGAGAGGGCAGGCGGGGGCCGAGGAGCGACGGGCGGGCCGCCAGCAGGCCGCCCGCCCCTTCAGGCCGGATGGCGGGGGAGGGGGGGGAGGAGCAGGAGGGGAAGGGCGAGGGGGGGGCAAAGTGGACATGTTTACCTGAACGTATCGCACTCGCTATCCTCGCCGTCAACCTTGTCTCTCTCTTTTGACAGAAGAAGGCGGCCATCAGCCGTGGCCTTCAACGCATCACGGGCCGCCCTCCTCCGTAGATACGAGGGGCGGCAATGAAAAATGTGCTCCCTGGCCCCGACATAGTCATCGCGTGACAGGAGCCACGCCGCCAAGAAACCAGCAGGCCTGCCGACCCAGCGCCTGGCTCCCGCGAAGCACTGCCGATTGACTTTGCACACGGCCCTGCCGCCGTGGTCCACGCAGTCGCACAGCGCGAACATGCGGCGGCTGGCCGCATACCAGACCAAGGTCCCGCCACCGAACCGCATGCTGATCGAGTCGCCGTACTCGTCAGGCGCGGCATGGCCAGCGCGAGCGGCAGGGGGGGCATCGTCCTCGCTCTCGCCCTCGCCCCCGCCACTCGCCTCAGCATCGCTACTTGATGACGAGGACGAGGACGAACTGGACGACGAAGACGCTGAGCTCGACGAGGAGGCGGGCTCCTCCCCGCCCGCGCTGCCCTCGTCTTCGCCCACGTCGCCGCCGCCCTCTGCGCCAGAGTCGCTGCCGTCGTCGTCGATGGCGGCCAAGGCGCCCCAGCTGCCGCGCGGCTCTCTCGCAGCAGGCGGCTCCCAGATAAGCCGCAGCAAGCCGTCGCCCAAAAGCGATGCATTCAGGCGCCGTGGGCGCACGGCATCGAGGACGCCGTCCTTGTCCTTCGCAATCCAGAAACAAGCGTGCCATGTCAATTGTAAATCCAAGTCCCCCAGAGCCCGCACGTCAATACTCTCGGAGTGCGCATAATCAAGCATGACGTCATTCTCGAAAGCAGCCCGCCCCTCGCGAACATCCAGTGAAAAGCCATCTCCTGCCACCAGTATGCTGAAATCAAGGCGCCACGGCCGCTGGTGAACGTCACCGATCAAGAGCCACTTGAACTGGTGCGAGCCTGCATCGCAACGTTCATGGTCTTCCAGTGCCAGCGGGGGATCGCGCCCTATCAGGAGGACAACAACCCGAGCAGCCAATAAACTAGATCGCTCAGTCGAGCCAGCAGGGCACGCTGCCTTGGTCGCAGAGACAAGGTTGCCGATGCACCTGGCAATCTTGCGGCCCTGCCCACTGCAAATGCACATCCCAGCATCATGGCACTTGCGGTGTGTCAGTGGCGGCTCTCTGCTCCATGCAACGGTGCGGACAGGCAAATTGGCTGAGCGCCAGGCTTCGGAAGCTGCCTTGAATAACGTCTTCACTGGGCGCGTTGCTGGGTCCAAGGCCGCAAGGCGGTGAGCCACGTTCGCCGAGTCAGGCGGTGACCACATAACCCTATGGTACGAAGGTTCAGGTTGTGGGTCCGACCAACTTCGCTGCAGCATGTCAGTATCCATCACGGGCGCGCATCTCTCTAAGTATTCCTGCAAACCGCCTGTGCTGAGCTGGTACGCCTCTGACCTTCTGCGCTCCCTATCAGATATCCGCCTCGATAACATGGATGCGGCTCGCCACGCCTTCTTGCAATGGCGCAAGCCATCGATTGGAACGCACTCTGCGGTGTTGCCCAA